CCCCCACACCAGTAGGGGCGGCCGCCCGGGATGGGGGCAGGGAGCCGGGGCGCGGCTGTATGGACGCAGCGGAGCGGGGGCCCGGGCCCTGCCCCAGGGGAGTTCGGGCTGGGCAGCTGCGGCAGGGAGGGCCTGGAGGAGCGAGCAGGAGCGCTTCCCCTGCCCCTAACCCAGCTCGCAACAGCACGTGATTTCCCCCGCACCTTTCTTCAGCCCTTCCAGGAGCTTCGGGCCCATCCCGCGGCTTGAGCTCGTCCGTCCCCTCGTGTTTAAGCCGCAGCGCTCCGGGGGTTACCGTGTGTCCCTGCCCGCGGGCTTCCCTTTGTTGGGACGACGGGGCGCCCCGCTCCACCCCCCAGAAATGAGGACCCGAGAAAAGCCTGTACCCCAGGGAAGGTTTGCTGGTGGCCCTGGGTGAACTTCTAGTATCGCCCCCCCTTTGCCAGAGATAACGATAACGATGATAATAAAAATTACCGGTTTGGGGCCCCCTTTGTGTCTGGGCCCTGGGCAGCAACCCAGTTGACCCGTGCCCGTGTCTGGCCCCGTTTGCTGGGTGATGAGAGGCCCCAGCAGGTCTCCAGTGCTGGGCCCCACCACGTCTTGAATGGTCTGAGCAGTAGGGCTGGAAGGAAGGAGGCGAGTGCCAGCCCTCGTGTCTCGGGGGGCCTCTCAGACACAAAAGAAGCCTCCAGGTTGCATTCGGCCCTAAGCGATCTCGGTCTCTAAGTGGAAGCTTCACACGGTTCCCTGAGACCAGCCCCCATTGCTGCAGGGAGACGTTATGCTTTTGGTAGGAGGGTCCTTTCAGGGGAGACTCTTGCACCTGCCCCACCAGCTGCAGCCTTGAAGATCTGGGTTCTGCCCTAAGCTCTGCCGCCCACCTGCCGGGCGACCCCAGGCCTGCCACTGCGTACCTCCCTGCCTCATTTTCCCTATCTGCCATGCCATCAGGGCAGCGACCTCCTTTGCAGAAATGCCTGGCAGTCCCCCAAGTGATCCCTCATGCTTGGATGGTACCAGTTGTGCTGGGGTAAATGAATAACCAGGCTGCTGTAATTATTCCCAAGCCAGGCATTTTTCTTTTAAGGTCACGGAAAGAGACCCAAAGGCATTAAGAGAAGAAATGTGTCGTGAGGGCCCCGGCACAGCCTTAACTCTGCTCCGGGCGGTGGCGTAGAATAACGCGAAGTGTCCCCTGGCACCCCGGTTCCTCCGGGCAGGGGGCGAGCGACGGGCCCAGGTACGGCCAGGACAAGGTGCTAGCCCTGGGGACAAGGAAGATCCTAGCGTCTCCCTCGCTGCCACTGCCGACCGGCCGGCAAGGCTTGTTCTGACCTGAGCCAGGCCTCCAAACCTCGTCCCTTCTCAGGGCCTCAGGACCCGCCCATGGGCCCAGCACCCGTATTCTGGGTGCGTGGTGCCATCTAGCGGGACCTGCAATGAAGGAGCGGCCATTTAAGAGCTGCTTCTTCATATCCTCCCATCTCCATTCCTTTGGGGCTGCTTTTCTAGTGCCTAGGAGGGGGGTGGGCAGCCTCTGCTGGGCTGCAGACCCTCCCTTCTGACCCTGCTTTTCCTCTTCCATCACTTCCCTCCCCACTTCCACCTCTCCCCTTCTACAAAGGGACCAAGAGGCCATATACAGCACCCTGGAGACAACTACATCAGCCAGCAGCCCCTGGGCCTGTTTCTGCCTCGTCTCCAGTCTCTGTCTGGTTGACAGGCGCAGGGGCTGGTTAAAAGGGGAGCTTGAGGGTAGCCCAGCATGGGTGCTGACTGGCTGGTGACCTTAGGGTGGGGGCTGTGGCGTGTGCCTCTGGCTGGAGGGGAGTCATGGGTGGCAGCTTGGGTTTGAGCTCGGGCTGGGTGCCAGCAGTCCCCACTGCACCATCCTGCCCTAGTCACTGGTGCCTCCCCTGCGTGTGGCATTAGCACTTCTGGGCCCAACCCACAGGTGTGTGTAGCGCAGGGGCTGGAGCTGTGCTACGATCCTTTCCCAGGGAGTGGTGGGAGAACTCGTTTGTCCTGCTAAGCACACTAGAAGAGTTGTGGGAAGGCGCTGGAAGACCATTAGGACTGGGCTTAGCCTGATTAGCACTCTGAACTGGGTTATCAGATCGAGGGAAAGCAGCACCTTGGCTGTAAATACATCTCTAGCCAAGTCGCACGGAGGGTTCGGAGTGTGGACAGGCAAGTTTGGGACAAACTTAGGGGACGGCCTCGGGGAAGACAGCCCCAAAGTGATTTGCATCCTAATTCCCCTGATGGCTTGGATTCGTGTGAACACACGTGCATGCATGTGTGCACACAGTTGTACATATACACGTCCCATTCCCTCCCCCGAGGCACTGGCACCTCAGTTCATTTGCCCAGGGATTTCTGCCAGGGGCCCGATGAGGCTAGTACAGAGGGGCTAACCCAGGGGTGGGCAATTATTCCGGGCGGAGGGGCACTTACTGAGTTTTGGCGAGCCATCGAGGGCCACATGACGGGCAGCTAGGGGCAGATAAATATTAATTTTCTAAGTTTTTTCGGGGCCCCGCGGGCCGGATAGAATGGCCTGGTGGGCTGCATCTGGCCTGTGGACTGCATTTTGCCCACCCCTGGGCTAACCTATGCCCCCTGCATGGCTCCCCTGCTTCTTCAATCCCCCCCATCTCAGCCTTAGCCCCTCCAGACCTCCCTATTACCCAGCCTGTCAGCGCTGTAAGGGTCGTGTGAGCGAAGAGGCTGCTGGGGGTTGGGGTCCTGTGGGCGCTGGTTTGGGCAGGCGGATCTGGGAGGTCTTGCAAGCAGACAGCATGTAGGTGGGGGCTGCACAATTAGGTAGGGATAGGATTGTTGGTTTTCCTTCCTACTCATACATCCCTGCTTCCATGCCCATTTCTACCCTAAAGTGATTGCAATGACAGCAGAAGAGGCCTAGCGGACAGAGCACTGGGCTAGGACCCAGGAGACCTGGGATCTATTCCTGTCCCTGCAGCTGAATGGCTTTGGGCAAGCCGCCTTCCCCATACACAACTGGTGGATGATCTCCCTCTTCCGCACGGTATGATGTTACCTACCCATGTTGTTATCTTAAAGAAGGGCCTGGGAACAGGAGCGGTGGGAGAAAGGGCAATTCATTTGTCCAAGTACCTACAGGGACAAACTGAGCAGGACAGTCTTTGATGGTCTCCCTCAATGGGCCCTTCTGCAAGTGATGCGGCTGCCAGGTGGGAATCAGGAGAGAAAGGTTTATTTAACCCACAGGGATAGTTTTGCTGCCTTCTTACTCAACAAAAAGAGAATCAGCAGTTGAGTCAGAAACTTCCCCCTCCAGCTGAGACGCTTTGCCGGGTCATTACTGAGGAATACCAGACCCCACTTAACTGGTATTTTTAAGAGGGAATACGAACATCCAATTCAGAACATTTTGCACTGACTTTGGTCCGTCTCCTGCTGCAGATGGGGCGTGGGTCAGGAAGATAAACCAAATCTGCTGCTCACTGCAACGCCGGTACTGATACCAGAGTCACAGTCACCTTGGCACATAACCACGGTCACCCTTTGCTGACCTGCTGATTTGAAAAGGGCAAGCTCTTGACTAAGGATGACAAATTGCTACACCTGTTGAGTCAGCCGCTTTGGAGCTCGCCAGCCGGCCTCGTTAACTCCTGGCACTTCCATCACCTGTTGCTTGTGGCTCTCTTCCCAGGTGGTCAGGTGATGGCAGCACCCCTGCTGTGCTGGGGCTTCCTGCGTTGTTTTGCAATGACCGTTCTTCTAACTTCCTGCAGGAAATGCATCCCAGTCCCACGTGGTTTATCCGTGCACCTTCTGAGTGTAGATAAAGAAGAATCGAGGTAACTGTACAGAGGAGCAAACTCAACATTCATTGCGTGAGGACCAGGGGGCTGTGCTGCCTGGCTGTAAACACCATCTCGGTCGCGAGAGACTGCATGTCTCGCTGTGGGGGGGAGCAGCGAGGAATCCAGTCGCAGTGCAGAGGTGGGATTCACCCCCCGCCAAGCCGCTGGCGATGCCGGCTCCTCATCCCTATGTTCTCGGCTGATCTTGATTCAAGATTCAGCGTGCAACAGAAACAGTGCAGGAGGTCTGGGTGCTGGGTCACAGGGCTGAAGTCACCGCTGAGTGCAACCTTATTATAAAATATTATTGGGACGTCATAGCCACCTAAAAGTCCTAGTCCCATTGTCCTAAGTGTCGGACAGATGTCTAATGGGCCCTCCTTGCTGCAAAAGGCTTTTTCACGTGAGCCAGCTATTGCAAAGGTGGCTTGGACCAGCAATGAACAAAGCTCCAGATCCTTTAGCAGCAAGAGAGCAGGACCGGAGCTGGGCAACAGAGATGGAGCAGGGGGCCTGTAGGGCGGGCAGTTGGAAAGGAAAGCACCCGTGAAAATGCCAGCGTCAGCAGAAAGCCACACCAAGCAGCTGCTCAGCAGCCGTACGGGAGCGAGCTTTAAACACGTGTCGCCGATGAAGCCTGCGCCCGGGAACCCAAACAACAGTTGTGCTGCCACGTCCCCATCACGATCTGTCTGCCATGCATCCAGCCTCTCCCGCCTCGGGAAGCAGAGTGGGAGGAGCCTGTTTTGCCCCTGTGGGAGGAGTCTGTTTTGCCCCTGTGGGAGGAGTCTATTTGCTCACTGGTTGCATAGTCTTTATCGGAAGATGAGGTTGGTAGGCTCAGCCATGTCTGTCCCAAAGCACCTGTCCGCGCACCCTTGGCCCGAGGCTCAGATCTTCTGCACGTAATTCCCAGGGAAGAGCCCTTCTTGCCCGTGCAGCCGGCCTTTCCACCACCCCGAGGAATCTGGAAGAGGGAAACGGTGCTTAGCATTAGGCGCGGGGAGTGAGCAATGCTGTTCGCAGGCTCTTTGTGCCCTGCAAGCTCCATCTCAGTGAATCCCTCCTGTGGCCGCAGAGCTCGAGAGCTGGGTATGCGTGCATGTGCGGCTGGGTGCATGGACTGGCTCCTACGAAGGTGTCCCCATATGTGAGTGTAGGGAACCTGCGTGCCTTTAGCATGGCTCTGGCCATGGCCCAGTCGTCTCCCAGCTGGGGGAGCTGGCTGCACTATTACCCCTTAATAAATGAGTCAACAAGATGCCCTAACCCCAGTCCTATTCAGGTTTAACTGGCAATATCCTACACTGGACAGGCCCATTCAACAAAAGCCTGGGGTTGAAATCCTACAGCCAGTGCTATGCAGGGGCTCAGATTAGATGCTCACAGGGTCCCTTCTGGCCACAGAACGAGACCAGAACATCCCTCCTGCTAACAGTCTTCATGGTCA